TAAGGTAACAGTTGAAGAAGTCAAACAAATTGATGGTGCTTCAAAGCAGGTGGAGTTTGAGGGAAAGATAATTTTCCCAACACAGGGATCAAACGAGGAAACAACAGAAAATTTTCCTCTTGAAAGAGAGCCAGTCGAAGAAGAGGTTCCATCTCAAGAACCTCAACCACAACTAGAATCAATAGCAACCAGCAAGCCAAAAAGGACATTAAGAAAACCTGCTTGACTCATAGATATGGTGGCTTGTGCGGACTCAATTGTAGCTGATGACATTCCTACCACTTATAAAGACGAAGTCCAAAGTTCAGAAGAAGATAAGTGGAGGATTACCACGGATGAAGAAATGCAGTCCCTTCATCAGAATCATACATGGAGATTGGCGAATCTCCCAGAGGGCAACAAAGCAATTGGGTGCAAATGGGTATTTGCAAAGAAAGAAGGATTTCCTAACCAAGAAGATGTTCGCTACAAAGCAAGATTGGTGGCCAAAGGATATATGCTCAAAAGGAGGGAATTGATTATAATGAGGTGTTTTCTCCAGTTGTGAAACACTCCTCCATTAGAGTTTTGTTGGCTTTGGTAGCACAGTAAAATTTGGAACTAGTTCAGTTGGATGTAAAAACTGCATTTTTACATGGAGACTTGGAAGAGGAAATCTACATGACTCAGCTAGAAGGATTCAAAGTTGATGGAAAAGAAAATATGGTGTGCAAAATTGAAAAATCATTGTACGGATTGAAACAATCTTCTAGACAATGGTACAAACGATTTGACAAGTTTATGTTGCAGCAAAGGTACATAAGAAGCAAATACGATCATTGTGTGTATTTGCGCAAGCTTGAAGATAATTCCTTTATATACTTTCTCCTATATGTTGATGATATGTTGATAGCTTCTAAGAGTAAAGAGGAGATTGAGAAGCTAAAGAATCAACTAAGAAAGGAGTTTGAGATGAAGGATTTGGGTGAGGCAAAGAAGATTCTTGCATGGAGATAAAAAGAGATAGACATTCAAAGAAACTCTATTATATTTGAAGAGAGTACTAAAGCGATTCGGTATGAATAAAAAAACGAAGTCGGTTAGCACTCCGCTTGCTCCTCATTTTAAGCTTATTGATGCTATGTCACCTAATAATGAAGCTGAACGAGAATATATGTCAAGAGTACCATACGCTAATGCTATTGGTAGCTTGATGTATGCAATGGTTTGCACAAGGCCAGATATTTCACACGTTGTTGGAGTTGTAAGCAGGTACATGCACAATCCTGGAAAGGATCATTGGCAGGCTGTAAAATGGATTCTACGGTATATTCATAATACTGTAGATGTTGGTTTGGTTTTTGAGCAGAAAGATAGTCAATATCTTGTTGGATATTGTGACTCAGATTATGCAGGTGATTTGGAAAAACGAAGATCAACTACTGGTTATGTTTTCACTATTGCAAATGCACCAGTTAGTTGGAAGTCTACTTTGCAGTCAATAGTTGCTTTGTCTACCACTGAGGCAGAGTACATGGCAATTACAAAGGCTGCGAAAGAAGCAATTTGGCTTCAAGGATTGCTTAGAGAGCTTGGTATTGGACAAGAAGAAATCACAATATTTTGTGATAGTCAGAGTGCTATTCAATTAGCAAAGAACCAAGTTTATCATGCAAGGACGAAGCACATTGACGTCCGATATCATTTCATACGAGAAATCATAGAAGATGGTGGAGTCATAATGCAGAAAATTCATACTACAGATAATCCTGCCGATATGTTGACAAAGTGGTGACTGCGGTCAAGTTTCAACATTGTTTGAACTTGATCAACATTGTTGAACATTGAAGATTAAGGTTGAAGACACAATCAAAACTGTTATTGAGAGAAAGTTGAAAATGAAGAATCTTGCCAAGGTGTAGATTTGTTAAATTTGACAAGATTCAAAAAATGGATTAATGAGAAGATATGGTAGTTAGGAGGATAATTCTTCATTGGTAGAAAAGTCAAGATAGCAACTTTTGTAGGTGAAATTTAGGTGAACCATAAATTGATTTCACAAGGTAAATGTTGACATTTTGACATATTGTGATGTCATGGATGACATCAATAGGAAGAATTCACTACTATAAATAGGTAGCTCCTAATTCATTTGTAAAATACCTCTAACTTGCCTTCTCATCTCCTAAGGCATTTGTTCTTCTTTCTCTCTTGTAGTATTTCACTTGTACTCTTTTGGAGTGAAATAAATATTGGTTGGTTGTGTCCGAGGAGTAGGCAAAAGATAATAAAAGTTTGCCGAACCTCGTTAATTCCTGGTGTTGTTTCTCTTGTTGTCTCATTTACTATTTATTAGCTACCTTTAGATATAGTAGTTGTGATTCCATCACTCTCTGTATATTCGGCTTCCGCAACATTGAATTCATCCAACTATGTTATTAGAAAATAAAATAAACTTCTATACGTGTAAATTATTTTCTTAAAATCTCTTATTTTATTATTATTGTTTTTAAATAAAGTTATAAAAGAGAATACCTAAGGTAAAGTATCAAACCACTGTGTATAGTTATTTTATTATTTTTGACATTTAGTATTGTCATAGTAAAAGCATAAGATACAACCACATAAACTTGTTTTTTATGGCTGTTTAGAATCCAAAAAAATATTATAGGTTGGAGTCAAAGTTTCTTTCTTTCAACTATTACTAATGTATCAATTATCAAGTTAAATTATTTACAAACTATCTTTTATGATTATTTATCATAAAAAGATGTCACATATCGTTTTAAAATTTGAAGAGCATTCACACCCTTTCATACAACAAAATCGTTTATTTTTTTGAATAAAAAATTCTATAAATTTCGAAACTTGATTCTCTGAATCTTTATCTAGTAACAAGTCAAGGCATATATCAAACTTTTTATCTTAGTGAGCATAAACCAAAATATTAGCCTTTATTGATTGATAGATCAAAAAAGAAAATGTTAAAGGGATAGTTATGAAGAGACGTTGAGTGTGTTGTTTGCCCTCCCTATTTGAAACAAATGTCATTGTAGTGAGTGGTAAAACAAACACAAATTTTCCGTCATTTGGACAAAAAAATTTGCTCCTACAACATTATATGAGCAATATTTATAGATATTAATCTCTTATGACATGTTTACTTCTAAAAATTTTAATTTTTGAAGTATATATTTTTGTGATAATTGATTCAAGCTAACTCGAAATATCAATCTCTAACATGTTCATCCCTGAAATTTTTTAAATTTTCAAGTATATAATTTGTTTTTGTGATAGTTGGTTCAAACTAACTAACATTGTTGGAAGAAATAATAGGTGTAATATCAATGTTTAGATTGTGTTGTCTCATTCTTTATTTGCTCAAAGATTATCTATAATCATTTGTTTAGTATACATCTTATGCCGAATCGAGCAACTTACAAAAATAACTATATTTATAGGGTTAATGAATACAAATAACTATAAGTATGTTATTTTCAATAAATGACTACAATTTAATATCACCTTTTTGTTGTATTATTGTATAGTTTTTTAATTTTTTTAATTTATACATTAATACATCTTCAAGTACAACAAACTAAATAAGGAATTGACTCTGAATATAAATCACTCTCCTTACATTACATCATACAATGAGCAACTTCCCATAATTAACTTTATAACTAAAAAAATACTTATTTAAAGACATATCAGATCATATTCTTTATCAATTTAACAAAAATTGTGATACATCATACTCAATTTTCTTGTTGTCTCCATATTTCTTATTTTGGCGTCGTAAAGGTATTAATAATTTTTTTTCATAAGTTTAAGTTATTGTTGTAAGCAAATTGTTGAATTTGTGAATGATGGTTAAGTATTTCGATTTTGAATAGGTGAACTACATGACAAGTTGTTAAACAAAAAATGAATACACCGATATAGAATATTTTGTTGTTAAACACAAAAATGAGTACTTCGGATACAGCTATACTTGTATTTTCTAATCAACTTTTTATCTTGGATATATTACTTATATATGTAGATATAACTATATTTGTAAATCAACATTTTAACTTGTACTTATATACAATACAAGTATTTATGTATATAAATATGGTTACATTTCAACACTGTTGTTAAGCAAAATATGAATGCATTATACAAATGTACAAAAAAGATACAATTTGTGAATATCAAAATGTATAAGTATGGATACGTTAGACAAACGAGCAAAATAAAATACAATTTATATGTATCAAATTGTATAAGTACGAGATAAATATGCAATTAAAGGACACCCGATGAATACAAAATCACAAAAATCGCTAGCTCCTGCAGTGCTGTAAAATACCTTGAATTTGAATGGATTTGGAGGAAAAACAGAAAATATGTGATGTATGAATATTGATGATAGAATTTCTTTTGATGATAGTAAACATGAAAAAAGATCACAAATGTGTCTGTCGCATTTAATTATAATTATTTTCCTATTTAATATTTATTATATATATATATATATATATATATATATATACATACACATACAAAATTAACTTTGCTATTTATAGTCTAATTATATCCATATAACATAAATAAAATAAAATAAAACTATTTTTCTTGAATATATATATATATATATATATATATATATATATATATATGTTTGTCATATTCTAAAGTTTTTCCCGATATCCAAAAAAAAAGAAAAAATACAAGAATCTATAATCACCCTTGGAACGATAGTAAAGCATAGCCTTAATAATAAAATCTCCCAACATTCAAGAGTAATTCGAGCATAATAATAAATCAAAAAAATTATTTCCATCTCAGAGAGAGATATTCAAGTATGAAATTAGGCAACAACTAAGAAATTTACCCAAGCTCTTGCTATGTCAAGCATATATACATACACCTTTGATGCCTAAAGGTCGTGTCGCGTATATTTTAATGTTATGTATGAAAATTAAAATGAATTACATAAGCAAAAGAAATGAAATTTCAAATGAGCATCCCGAGTCTTTTCCACATTCACCAAAATAACTAGTAGTATCAACAGGTCAAAAGTTCTAAAATTATATAGGAAACATGAACAATTAGAAACTGGAAGGTTTTTCCAACGTAGAACTATGAATTCTCTAAGAACACAATGATAAATAGAACAGCAAAGGCACTTATTCATACAAAACCATTATGAGCCACGAATATCTTCAAGAGTCATAATACTATACTATTAAAGGTTTACTTTAGAGCAACATTCACATTTAAAGAGGTGTCCGTCAAAATTATATCTTTGGAATTATCTGCCTTTGGATGGTTTGGACATTCAAACTTGAGTCTCACATGTACAGGTCTTGTTATGATGATTTCTTCTAAATCTCTTTTTGATGCAAGCAAGAACTGAAGAATTACATCTCTGCTTACCATTGTCCCAGGGTTTAGCAGATCTGCTATCCTGTCTGCTTTCCGTTGTCTACTGTCACTACGGCCATCTGAATCCTTTTTCAGTCTCAGATATAGTGCAGCACTAATGATAACCTAGTGGAGAACCAGAGAAATAAAGACAATCACATAATGACTAAAGCAGCATTTTTGGTTCTGAAATTCAGTATATATACTCCCCAAATTTATAAGGAGCTTAACGCAAGGCATATTTATCATTCATATTCTAGTAGTGAAATTAGGCCAATTCGAAATAGTTAAAGGTAAAAAAAATTGACTTTTCGAAATTCAGTTGATATCAATTATAAATAGTAAAAGTTTCCAATTTATAGCTGAAGAACTTTCGAAATAATTTAAGCAAATTCCTTACGAGATTTTCATGTATCATTCCATACAACTACAAATCACGTTATAAAATATTACCAAACTTATGAGTACCAACGTTAACTGGTTGATGCAAACATCCAAACATACCGTAAATTTTAGTATATTACAAGACATGGGGTTAACACACCCCAAAATACCTAAACAAAATTTAGGTTTCAAAATTAAAGTGTTCACTAGAAATCTCTGTAAAAAAACGAACGTTGTTAGGAGATCACCTTCAAAGTTTCATATAAATGTATAACACATGGATCACATACAAGTTTCACAACTACTACAAAATATAGATATTTTTATGCAAATGTCATCTTCCTTAAAGCTCCCAAAAACTCTTATCTCAACTTCAAGTATCCTCTCAAACATTCTCTACTATAAAAATAACTATCGCTAAACATAAAGCTTAGTGGTATAAAACCTACAGGTTTAGAGCTATATCTCGATTACCTTTGAAGTCGTGGGCGGCTCAATTATAACATATATAAATAAACCAAGTAACCGAATTCAATATTTAAATATTCAGCTATCATGAAGCTCATAGAACAACTTCACAAGAGATTAAATAACAAATTTCGCCCAATATATAAATCATGTCATCACACCAAGCATAATCATGTCGAGAAGGACTAAAGCCTTGTACTAAGAAGGGTCAAATCCCATTGATCAAGAAAACCATATTGAAATGACTTTCTAGTTCGTTCTTAAAATGCACAACTTTCATACTTCACACCAATCGAAAATCCAGAGTCGTATCAAGAGGCATGTCAATAGTGACAGTCACAACTACAAGGACAAAGTCCTAACAAAAATGCCAAGAGTATTGTCGTGTTGGTATCACTTGGCATTCTATTGGCATGCCTATTGATTCAAATCTTTTGTCATCTTGACACAGGATTTTTGATTGGTGTTAAGTATGGAAGTTGTTCATCTTAAGTACAAACTAGAAAGTCATTTAGTTCTTAATTCTCTTGATTGTTGGGTTTTCACTCTTCTAATACAAAGCTTCGATCTTTCTTGATACATAAGTCACATGACTATGCATGGTGTGATGTCATGATCTACATATTGGGCAATACTTGTTATTTAATCTTTTGTGAAATTGTTCTATGAGCTCTCGTGACACCTAAATCTTAAACGATCGAATTTGATACTCTTGATATATATGATTACTTGATATGTTTATATATGATATAATTGAGTTTCTCACAACTTCAAAGGTAATTGGAGAATTTCTATAGTAGGGAATGTTCGAGAATCGAGAGGATACTTGAAGCTGGCCATTAGACATAGATTTTTTTGAAGCTTTAAGGAAGATCACAGTTGCATAAAGGCATATATACTTCGTAATAATCTTGGGACTTGTATGGCATCCATGTGTTATACATTTATATGAAATTCTGAAGGTTGGTTCAATCATGACACAATGGTTTGTAACTTAAATTAGGTGAAATGTTTGGGTGTTTGGGATGTGCAAGTCCATGCCTTGTAATGTACTAAATTTACTGTTTGTTTTGAATGTTTGTATGAAGCATGAACCAATTAACTTTGGTTACTCATAAATTTAGTAATATTTTAGGGGAAATGCACAAGTAACCCCTAAACTATGACCAAAATCTCAGAGACACATTTTAACTAAACTAAGGTCCTATTACCCTCCCTCCCCCCCAACCCCCGAACTTTTTTTTTTTTGTAATTTTATACACCTTTTGTTAAGTTCGGGGGGGAGGGGGGGGGGGTTAATAGGACCTTAGAATAGTTAAGGTGTGTCTCTGGGATTTCGGTAATAGTCTAGGGAGATAATGGAATGATGGATAGAAATCTCGTAAGGTATTTCTTAAATTATCCAGCTGATTCAGTCTCAGATATAGTGCAGCACAATAACCTGGTGTAGAACCAGAGAAATGAAGACAATCACATAATGACTAGAGCATTTTTGGGTCTGAAATTCAGTATGAAATGCAAGTATTTCTAGACTAGACAATTATACAAATTAATTTATCATTTTAAACAACTTGAGCGAGAAATATCACATGTATCCAGGAGAATCTCAGCAATTCAGAATCAAAAGGAAATTGTTAGGAAGAAATGTACCAATTATACAAATTAATTTATCATTTTAAATAACTTGAGCGAGAAATTTCACATATATCCAGGAGAATCTCAGCAATTCAGAATCAAAAGGAAATTGTTAGGAAGAATATGTACCTCACTTGTTCCAGGACTTGAGTTAACGGAGCAACTTATCTCAACTTTCCCTTCTGGAATTTCCTCACCACAGCTCATCGTAGCCTCTTCTATGGTTGCTTCAATTTCTGATGTTGAAAAGGCTAGGTGGTCGATTTCATCATACCATTGCTGGGCAATACCAACCTGCATATCCTCATCAATTTATTTCTTTAAACAATAGGAAAGAAGGCACTACTTAAGGTATGTGCTATTTAATACTCTGTTCATTTCACATAGATCTCTTCGTTTGACTTTGCACTGCTACTAGAGGAATTTAAAAATGAATTATTCAGCATTTGTTGAGAAAAAATGTTGGACAATATTCCTTTTTTTTTAAGTGGTCCCAGATAACTATTTGCAGTTTATGGTATATACGCAAAAATGAAGAGTGAAAAATCAACTTGGGATGAAGGAAGTAGAATTTATGGGCAAACACAAATACATGAAGCCTAAAGGTAATCAGAAACCTTCTCTGAAGATGTAATCGTGCTATCTGCCTTGGATATTTCAGTTGCTGCCCCTCTAGTTTGCCTCCATATACAACTTTCACCCAATGGTTCAATTAGATCAACATATTCTGGAATATCCACCTTCAGTTGTATGTCAATTTTGCCTGTTACAAAAATGAAGCGAGGTTATCATGGAGTACTCCCTCTATCTAGTAAAACTTAGCCTACTCTCTCTTTTTTACATTGATCTATAAAAAGACAGCTTTTTTAACATGTAGCAGTGACAACCCAATAACCACTCACCATTAATGCATTCTCTATTTGGGGACATCTCAAACTGTTGATTGTCATAACCGTTAATTAAACCCATTAAATTTTAAACCTTGAAACAACACACAAGTCAGATTAACATTATAGACTCCCTCCTATCTGTTGATCATATAAAATTGGTCGTCAGAAGTACGTCAATGATTTCAAATTTGAGTTAACATATACTAAAATTAATTACTCCCTTATGTGTGTCTGAAAATCACTAAAATTTCATAAACAGCAATTGCCTGTTTAGCCAAGCTTTTGAAGGTTAAAAAGTGCTTATATAAAAATGCTTATTTTTTTTAATGACCATAGAAAATCACTTATTTTAAAGACCAAAGGTGTTTCGCCAAGCTTTTGGTGAAGAAATAAGTGCTTTGGGTAGTAGCAAAAGCCTTTTTTCCACTTCTAAACAGAAGCTAAAAAGGGTACTCCTCCAACAAAAAAGTGCTTTTGATTTTTAGGACAAGATTACTCATAAAAAATTTACATTTACCAAATTAAGTAACTTAATGTTTTTGTAATTTGACACCTAAAAGTAACCAAGCACAAATTGCTACACTTTCCACGGCACTTCACAAAACACTTTTTATAAGCAACTGTTAAAGCTGATTTTGACAGCTTGGTCAAACAGGCTGTAAATTTGAAACCATAATTTCAAATATGTAATTGGTTCAGTAGTAATAACATAAAATCTTAACTCAACAAATTTAGGTTCTGGATCCGTCTCTACTGATATATTTACATTTCAAGAATATTTTGAATACATATCTAACTCCTAACATACTAATCTATAACCCCCCTCTGGAGTTAACCAAAAAGGCTCTTTTATTTTTGAAGGAAGAGTAAATGTATCACAAAAGTTATATAAATTACAACCAAATTCTTGCAAGAAATATGATCCAGAAAAAGAAGATAAGTAAGATACAATATTGAAGATAAAAATTATAGGTAGATAAACAACTGAAAAGATCAGTAAAAAAAATTCCAGGTAAGAGTTTTTTCATAAATTATCTAAACTACATGTAATCAATAGGCCATTACTACCTGGCAACAAGTTGAAAGACTCTATGTGATCAATAGAATTTTCTGCCAATGCTGCATCACTGTAACACCAGCATCAAATACAGTAAATTAATATAATTGCCCAAAGAAAGCAGAAAAGAACGATGGCTTGTAGAGCTTCTTTAATCTGTCACACTTACGCAGCACATACTCGTTCCAGAGGAGATGAGGACCAGTAAGGAAACCCAAGGATCCCCAAATTAGAAAACTGGAAGCTTGATAGAGAACTCGAGTTCCTATTGAGTTTTAATACCGTTTGACCAACTACAGATAAGAACAATCTAAAACTGAATCAGGCAAAGCAGATGTTACAACGGATCCAATCATTTAAGACATGACTACCTGTATCACAAATGAGTATCTGATCCTGAAAAGTTACCACAGATGATATAAAATGAACATATGGAATTTTCTTTGATGAGCAATGTGCATCCACTTGCTGCTGCAACCAATCATTAGGTATTTGATTCAAAAGCATCGACTTCTCCAGGATCAATGGCTCACAGATCTCCAAAATATTGGAAAATCCTTTTAGAGTACGGATGAGTCAACAACTGACAAGCCTAAGTGATACAATAGAGACAACTTGAGAACATTCTTGGCAATAATTTATGTACCTTTAATAACCTCTCTGATCAAGCCTGAGGCTAAATCCATGATCCACAACGTCTCACAGCTGCATGCAAGAAAATTAAAGTGAGGGCAGCCCCGCAGCTCAAACCATAAAATTTACAAATATGAGTGTAGAAATTGTCAACATATTTAATTTCAAAATACGGAATACAATTTCTGCAATATATGAGTTTAGAATGAGCAATCTTGGGGCTTTTAGCATTCCAATTTCTATGATTCATAAAGGGGTGGAGACAAGATCACAAGCTTGTTCATTATATTTAAATTGCAAGTTCATGAAATGTTTCCCAATTGGGTTCTAGAACAAAATTAACAGCCAATGTGGGGGCATATGTTCCGAGTATTTCCAACCTTATAAATGTGTTATATTATACCAACTTACCTAGTTATGCTGCCCAAAGATAGATTATAAAACTTAAGGCCTAAGAATATATAGATTACATAGTTTAACAACTATTAACAGACGAACAGTTGCATTATATTTCATGACATTCTGCTTAAAGAGAGAACAAAGAAAAAATGAACACGAAAAGTCAAAGGGAAAACAAGAAAATAGAAACTACAAAAGCCTATATCTGAAGAAATTTTATGCCAGAACCAGTTGACAACAAAAATGAAAAGTTAAATGGGCATAACTAGTCACTGACGGTGTTTTGTGTTGGCACATCAAGATGGGACATCTAATGACCAAACTAACTGTGTAACGTGAACATTCTATAGCATTTAAAGCTTAAGATAATAGATTGAATTGGAAAACGCTACTGATTTTTAAACTTCCCTTATGAAGGAATTATATCTTATTTGAGCTTCATATGGCCCGTTTCAATCTCGAACAGAGGAAAGTTTGAAAGGTTAGCAGCCAATGTAAAAAGAGTGAACGCCAATGTTTTGGAGTTCAGAAACACTAATGGATCTGCCTTTGAAGGTTGTTAGAAAGAGGCTCTAGATAGTACGTGTATCATGGCTTGATCAAAGTATGCATATAATTTAGATGTTATCACACTCATGACAAGGTGTCAAAGGAGACGAGGTACCCCAAAAATCTAACCTAATGAAAATATAATAATGCCAAAAAAAGTGTAGGTATGAAACCATGATAAGATATTAAAAGGAGACTAGGTAATCTCAGAACCACATGAAGGAAGTTATCTCATAATACCTATAATCTCTTAGAATACATGCAGATTTATTGAAAAATAGAATAGACCAGTTTGGAGATACAAGAAAGAAAAGGGGAGATATAATCTGGTTGAATGGGAGGTCACTCAATTAAGAAAAAGGCAAGGAGGACTAGGAATAAAGAATCTGGAACTCAAACCAGCTACCTTTTGATGAAATGGCTTTGGAGATTCGGTAATGAAGAAACTTCCATGGAAGGAAGTAATTGTTCACAAGTTTGGACAGAGCATTCATTCCTTGGTGCTCAAATAAGTAAATTGCACTTATGGGACGGGTGTATGGAGGGCTATCAGAGGTCTATGGTCAAAGCTCCAGGAGAACTCTAAAATCAGAGTGGGCAATGGTAATAATGTTAGGCTTTGGAAGGATAATTCGATAGGGGAAGTACCACTGAAGGATAAATTATCTCATGTTACTATCTAACAACCCTGAAATTGTTATGTCTGATTGTTGGTTGCCAGAGTTGGGATCTTAGCTTCAGAAGGCACTTAAATGACTGGGAGGTGAAAGAGTAGATGACCTGCTAAAAGAAGTGGATACTTTTGGTGGGACAATAATGGAGCCTGATAGACTTCGATGGAGACAGAGTTCAGAAGGAAGTTTCACAGCAAATAAGCTATACAAGAGGGAGAATAGCATTATGCAGAAGAAAGAGCTAAAATATGGAGAAATATTTGGAAGAACATAGCCCCTACAAAGGTGAAATGCTTCAGAGGGCTAGTGGTAAAAAAGGCATGCCTTACTCGTGAAGTGTTTACCAAAGAAGGGGAGAGTTGTGCTGACTAGATGTTTTTTGTGCAATGAGACTGGGGAGACAAATAATCACTTGTTCCTACACTGTAAATTCACTGCTCAATTGCGGAACCTGTTTTTTACATACAAAGACAGTGTAGACAATGCTTGAACATACAGCTGATCTAACGAGTTGTTGGATGAAAAGAGGGGCAAGTAAAAAGTTAGAAAAAATGGAGGAGGATAATACTATCTTGCATATGGTGGCCAATATGGAGGGAAAGAAATGGAAGGTGTTTTGAAGACAAAATCAGATCAGTCCATGATGTGAAATGGAATTGTCTGGTGACTTCATTTTTTTGGTGTAAACAAAATTGTATAGAGGAAATAGACAAGTTAGAAGAATTTATAGGAGCTTTGTAAAGCTAGAGTCTACTTGCTTTGTAACCATGTTTCTGATGGTGGCCAGCATTACCAATGCTGAAGAATATAACAGTACTAATCTTCAAAAAAAAAAAAAGACCAGAAGAAGAAGATCCATAAAGGAGATATTAGCTAGTTAGCAATTATATGTCAATTGAAAATGTAGAAAGCTTCTATTACTGTTACTAGTGTCTAAATTATTAAATGTTGAAATAAAACAAATTCAAATGGAGTGTTATCAATAACGAGGATACATATATGGTTATACCCAACCTTAACTAGCTTGGTATTGAAGAATAATTTTTTTCATCGTCTTGTTCCCATTTGCAATTGAAGAAAGCACAAGGAAATCTTTAAACAGATAATATTCCCAGCATCCATCAACTGATTATTCGCTCCTTCAATTTTCCTTATTGTACAAATGGTGCTTTCTGCCTACTGTAATAAGGTAACTCTAAACTAAGCCTTCATTATACGTAAATGTTAGAACAGATAATTGATCCATTTCCATTAGGTTGACAGAGAACCAACGAAAGGAACTTTCCTATCCTGCTTCTGTATCAGAAAACCAACAAGTGGATTATGCCTTTTCACCTCACCAAACAACTCAAACGAAAACAGTGAAAATTTCACAGCTAGTGTTCTATGTTCATTAATACAAAGTCATAGTGCAAAATAAGTAAGGTGTCCTTGCATTTAAAATAGAAGTCAAAACAAAGTGAGGATGAAATAGTACGAAACATCTGCAGATGTATAAACTTGGAAGAAAAATGGACAAGATGTCGCATCTACCTGCGGTTAAAAATGAGGAGATCGCCGTTTGGAGATTCCAGAATGTGCCATGGAAACAGCAATGCATCTGGATTCAATTCCTCAGACTGTGCAGCTAGATCATTTCTAGGCCAAAGCTTTCCCAATATCCAGCTCCATATACTGCTATCTTTATTTGATTTGCTTTTTGGGTAAAACGTGTCCACAACCCTCCTCCCCATATCAGCTCTCCTAATAGCATGATTCTTTCACAACAGGGACATATTTGTTAGCTTTATGAAGTATAGGAACAACCAAAAAAAAAAAGGAACAGTAAGGGTGTCCTCAACCACTAGGACAAAATTTTAAGGTTGTAAAATAGTGGAACATTCTAAGGGCCCGTTTGGCCATAGATTTCCCAAATAATATTTGGGGGAAAATTTAGCAAATAGTGTTTGTCCATACAATTTTCTATTATTTGGCAAATATCCCAAATTCCCAAATACTAGTTATTTCTAGTATTTGGGTCAAATCTCATTATTTGAGATCTTTAGAAAATTGAAATTTTACACCAAACTTTTATCTTTTACAAAAACACCCTCTATAGTAGTGTTGTATTACATAATTTTTTACGTGAACACCAAAGTAGTGATGAAATATTCAGTGCATATGAAAATGAAAGATATGGTTGTTGATGAAAATGATGAACAATCGGTCCAGGGTAACAGTCATGTGATTTGTCTACGTCACGATGTATGGAATGATGTTTGTTGCACTCACTCTAAACTACCACATTAGTCTAGTGTCATGGACACTGCTTGTTATTTGCAACGAAGATCCAATTGACTTGTAATACAAACTTATGGTTAATTTTGATAGTTTTTAAAACTTATGGGTACAAATCACATTTTTTTAAAAGTGAAACATATTTTCAAAATACTATGGCCAAACACGTAGTGTAATTTCACCCAAATTTTCACCCAAATAATATTTGCCAAGAATATTTGGAAATTTGTAGCCAAACACTAGCTAAAATTCAGGTATAACATGAAGGAGATACATGGAAGCAATATTGTCTTTTGAATAACATATCTTAAGATCAATCTATATCCATTTGACAGAAACTTTTATATCATTTAGCCTAAATAACAGAAAGTTATTGATACTTGTAGAGACAACTATAGTTAAGGGCTAATTCCACAACCATATGACTCATAGAGAAGCAAGGAAATAAAAGATATTACCCTGTGAAACCCAATTTGAATGCTCCATTCCTACTTCACTTGATTATTTAGAGAAAAATTATAAGTTGGGGGTTCTGAAGGATTAAATTAGAAATGTGTGGGAGGCCATGCTACATTGTGGTTCTTAGGAGAGGAATAAAAAAGATTACGTTGAAAAGAATAAAAGTGAGCATGCAATCTTACATTCTGTTGCGACTATGGTAGACCTCTCTTGTGAAAGAACTTGGACATACTTCAAAAGAACCAAAAGGGATATAAGGAAATTCACTTTGGGTGGAGTGGAAGTTCCTTTTCTAACTCAGGCAACCATGTACTGCATCAAAATGTCTGGAACTGAGTGCAGACTTATTTACTATTAAAAAGGCTAACAACATCACTCAGAAGTTAAATAACAACATTTGCCTTTTACCACTCACTATCTTTCACTAGTTCACTTTAGTTAGAAGTATAAACACGTAATCACGGTCAGTTAGCTCTAGTTCTTGAAATTCATGTGTGCTCAAATGTTAAAAGCTCAACCCACTAAATTTAGAAAATTGAGCTTCCCTTGATAAAGTAAGCAAGCGTAAACTTGATTTCTCTTTACTGGAGAACAAATTATAATTAAAGGACTTCATTAATTTTTTACATGATGTATGCATATGTTAGACATTAAGAAGGGACACACTAGAACACTAATACTAGATAGGATCAGAACATTAGTATTTTTCCGCATAACTAGTATTGAGTTTCCAATGTATATTGGAACACAATTAACTCAACTAATTTATATCTTTGCTTTTATTCTCAATAACACACAAATATGTAGAAGTTAGAAAAAAGGACCCCAGGAACTTAAATGGCCCATCTCGGACTTGTACAAGCTCAAATTGCTGATTAATAATGAGTTTAGGCCAGGCTGCATTTATTAATACACAAAAATTGGTATTTTGACTATTGCTCATAGCTTCAATTTCATGTTCTTTTGCCGAACTATTTACTTCTCTAATATAACAATTCGGAGACTCATCTCATGTATATATTACTTTTATGGTAAGAAGAAAGACTATTGAGTTTTAAAATATATTAATAGGTTCACATGAAACACAGCACGTAATTTTTAAGAAATGAATTGACTTAATGAATTCTGCCCTTCAGACATCATCATTTTTCTGAAAGTGAATAAACAATTTGAGACATCCCAAACAATTGAACTCTTGAGTGAAGAAGTGGTTTTATTTTTCACTTGCCAAATCAGACACATCCACACCCTTCTCTTTTTTTGTTCCTCTTAACAATCAATGTAAGATCATGAGAAATAGGACATCATACCAAGAAAATTGAAGAGCTTCAATGCAATTACCTCCGAGTCCACAAGATATAGACAGTCCTCAGCGGCATGATAAAAAGAAGCTGCTGGACGCCTTAACTTTGCTGATTCAAATTCTCCATCCTCATGACCAGGGGAAGAACCAATCTACGTCAAATGATCATGTTTGCATTAGAAATTCCTTTCATGCTTTAACAGTAGGATATGACAATCAAAGATGTAGTAGTCACACATGCATGCCTGACACATACAGAGTCTAAGATCTTCCCATTGCCATCAAGTACAATAACTCTGTGGTGATTGGAGTCAGAGAGGAAAAGGCGATTGCCACTCTCATCAACTGAAATGCCACCTGCAAGAAAATTCAGAAACTTAAGTATAAGAGACAAATGCTAGGAACAAGGGGCTTCAAGTCAAATTACAATCCTCGCATTTTTATATGGGGCTTTCGCATCTTTTTATCATCCCATGAAATTATTTTGACAAGGGAAGCTTTTCCAAAAGTAGATTGGCATAGCTATCAGTCTTGGGTTTCAAAAGGCCACGCCATAAGTCCAAGCTTCCTCATAGTGATTCAAAGATAACACCGACTACATACTTCTTTACCTCTTTCTATCATAGCTCTGCTTTGTGGTACTGAACTTTATCGTCATTTATTTTGAAAGTTTAGCGAACTACTCTTTGATGATTCCTCTACTTTATCCTTAGAACCTCTAAATTGCACTAGGTTTACAATCATATCAGTAGAAAGAGCTATAATATATCATTTTATACAAATTACACCTAAATTCATCCATTCTTTAAATGCTTAATTGTTCCTTTCTAGTCTGATTTTCCATCATTTTATAAGGCAACAAAAAGAAAGAGGGTAGGCAGAAAGAGAAACATCATATTCATAACTTTTACTAAAGGGAAACACACAAGTTGCACGTTTGAGGCAGAAAATTTCAAAATCCTTGCACCTTCATAGTTATTAATATATGGGAATGTCCATAATTATCTTTTTAATTTGTGCTAAATCAAAAGTGTCCATAATTATCTTTTTAATAAGTGCTAAATCAAAAGTATGGGACAGCTAAACAGGGGAACCTCTACCTGGAAAGTAAAGAAGCAGGTTTCTCAAGGGAAAACAGAGAGGTGGTTCCTTGAAGTCATCAGTTGGCTTTACCCATGTGCTTGTCAGATTATGCATGATCTTGGGGGTCTCACTCTCTTGTGCTCTGAAATCCTTGATTGCTGACATTGCAGAATGTAACAGAGCATCTTAGTTTAAAGACAACAGAAGGAAAATGGAAGATAGAGTTCCAGTTCTTATCATGCCATACACTGACCATCACCATCACTTCCCCAACAAAAGTCATATTTTGGGATGACTATGCAATTCAGAAGTAATCAATTATACTTCTAATTAAAAAAAAAAATTATCCTTATTAACTAAATCTTTGGATAAAAGTAGTAGCAGCTCCAAGAAAAAAAGATCAGCATTTAAACATTTATCCAGCATGGCAGATATTTTAAAAAAAAAAAAAAAAAAAAGGAGACACCCTACCTTTGTCTAGAATCACAATATCTGCTTCCTTCCCATAATAGGTTGAAGAACTTTCAGAACCATTAAACAAGATATAGCAGGCCTCGGAAGCAATCTGAAAAAGGACGTAGTACGTCAATTCATGAGCAATGAATGGATCCAGTGACAATCACAACATGAGAAACATGAAATAAAGGTTGGAGAAGCTCAGATATCAACAAACAGCAACAACTACATAACCGAGTGTAATACCACAATGGGGTCTGGGGAGAGAATATTTCCGCGAGACCCTCGGCTCAAATAAAGCATATCAAAATCAAGATGGAAAAGAAATATAATAATGAAGAAGCCATGCTAAAAGTAAATGCGAAGAAAACAGTAGAAATAACTAATAATACAGTAACTGAGGCAAAGGAAAAAACAGATAATAATGAAATAGAAAAATAAGAATGTAGGAGAGAATTAATAACAATACCGATAAGAAAAACTAGACAACGCTCAACTACCTACTAACCTCCTACTGTAATCCCTTGACCTCCATATCCTGTTGTCTAGTCATGTATCGATAAGCTGAGTCATATCTTGTCTAATCACTTCTCCTCAATACTTCTTCGATCTACCACTACCTTACTCTCCCCATACCCACCATAGTCAACCTCTTACACATCCACATTGGGGCATCTATGCATCTGCTCTTCACATATCCGAACGATCACAAACTCACCACCTCGTCTTGTCCATCACAGCGGTCACACCCACGTTGACCCGAATATCTTTGTTTATAATTCTCTCCCCTTGTATGCCCAGATCCATTTTAACATCCTCATTTTCGATACTTTCATCTTCTGGACGTGCGAATTCTTGATCAGCCAACACTACAACCTATACAACATACCTGGTCAGATAACCACTTTATAAAAACTCACTTTTAAGTCTTGGTAGCACATTCTTATCTCACAAGAAACTGGATGCAAGCCTCCATCCATCCACCCTTCTCTGACACAATGAGTAACATCATCATCAATTCCCCCATCTCCTTGGATTATTGACCCAACATACTTGAAATTTCCACTCTTGGGGAAGATTTGTGTATCAATCCGCACTTCCACATCTACCACGTATTACATCAATGAGCTTGCACTCCAAGTACTCTGTCTTAGTCCTACTCAACTTGAACCCTTTAGACTCCAGGCCTATCTCCAAAAGTCCAGTGTATCGTTAACTTTGCCACATGTTCCGTCAATCAATACAATGTCATCGCAAATAGCATACGCTATGGCACCTCTACTGGAATATGTCACGTCAATTCACCCATTGCCAAGGAAAAAGGAGATGGGCTAAGGGTTGATCTTTGGTACAACCCCATCACAACTAGAAAATGCTCTGAAACTCCTTCTATTGTCCTTACTAGGTCTTGGCTTCTTCATACATGTCCTTAATCACCCTAATGTAAGCTACATATGCACATTTAGCCTCCAAACATCTCCATAAACCCCCTAGGACTCTGTCATACACTTTTTCTAGGTCAGGAAAGAGAAAATATCACCCAAAAACAACTCATTATGCATATGTTGTATTAAATATATAGAGGGCAATAAGCAACTAAGTAATACTCAATACCCAAAAGAAACATGGACAAATTGCAAGAAATAGAAGCCACATCTTAACCCAAGTACACAACCAAGATGTTTTTTGATGAGGGTGCTGCAAGTTTAACAATTAAGCACAACATTTCCAATATTGATCCATATATCAACATGAATATATGACCAAAGGATATAATTGAATGTAGATAACAACAATTGCCTATTAAAAACATGAAAAGAAAGATTGATGACATAGACATACCCCACAATAGTACAATACGCATTGCATCTTCTAGCACATTGCCAATTTTCTCTAATTTAGACGAGATTCAAGGTCTAACAAGCATATCAGCACCACTTTGCACATAAAAGGAGATTTAGTTGAGGCCTAACACAAAATTTGAACTACTTAACCGATACTGTTGAAGAAGTCAAAATTTAATGATGATGTTATCTTTAAGTTGATCCATTTGGTCCTCAAGGAGACTCTCCAATGTTCAACAATCTTTGAAAGCATTATTATCTAGTTTATAATTCATATTGGTTTTCATAGTTTCTGTTATGACCTATAAGAGTTCTAGAGACTTACTACTTCTTCTCTGCCTGTTAATAACATAGTGCTATTCATAACCCCTGTGAAAGCATATGAAAAAATGTTCCAATAGTGTACCAAAAACATGAACTTATTCATTAACAGAATAGAGAAAACAACATAGAAGGGATTTGTCTATTGTTTTGCCCATTATTATCTTCTTTTTTTTCTTTTTTCTTTTATGAGAAGGTAACAGTCTTGTATTATATTCCAAAAAATAAAACCTGCCACAACTTGTTACAGGTTTACTAATTACGAATGAGTATCAGGAAGATCTTCAATCCTAAATAAACAAAATTACAAGGTGCCTAAAGCATTATTATTTTCTTAAAACCAATGATAGAGTTTATCTTGCTTTCCTTAGAACATCAGCAAGGATATGATGGACACATAAACTTTACATACTAAACAAGACCAAGTTAGCAAATCAATATAAGAAAACACCGTGTCCAGGTACTAATGACAGAAAGTTCAAATCTTCTTTGAATAGTCAAAATTTGCAACTCGTTTCTGACTAAGTACAGATATTTCAATTGAGTCCCGTCCTTGAAACAACTATTAAGACATACAACACAATATATGAAAAACGCAGATTGAATAAGATCCTTCAAACTGCACTAATTGAGCAACAAATTGTGTGAACATACCTCTATAACATTCTTGTTAGCTACCAGAATAGGAAAGGCAATGTATTCTTTCAAGGTTCTCCGAAGCAGATGTGTGCAAATATCACTTGAACAAAGTGGGATCTTCGTATCCTGGAAACCAATTATTTGAAGGAAAGGATATCTGCGACATTGGAAGAAAGTTGAGATCTCTGGAAAGACGTATATAAGAAAATTGACACAGAACAAGTTTGCACAAGGGTCTATGCTACCTATCCTGGAGAAACTTTACTTTCTCAAGCATGCTAGCAAAGTTTGCCTCCGTGATTGAGGAACCATCTAAGAATCCAGCAATGAGCACTAAGAAAATGCCATCTTTCAGAGACTTCTTATCCGGAGTTCCATTGAACCAACAATGAGAAGGGCCTGTAAATTTTGTTCGAAAAGCAACAGAAAATGAGGCAGGTATGCATATATATCCCTTTACAGAAACCAGATAATGAACAAGTTTTAGTAGTGTCAAAAACTAAGCAAAAAATGTGAAGAATATAGAACAAGTTAGTAGTTGATTGGGAGGGCAGTCCGGTGCACTGTGCTCCCTCTATGTACAAGGTCTAAGGAAAGGGCGGAACCACAAGGTCTATTGTGCACAGCCTTACCTGCATTTATGCAAGAGGTTGTTTCCACAGGTCGAACATGTGACCTCCTAGTCACATAGCAGCAATTTTACCAGTGTCGATTGGAAGAATAACAAAAGATATTTCATCAAATTGGAGGATAGGAATCGATGACCATTGGATATATTATGACTGTAGCAAGTTCATTAAATATGTTGATGTTCTCTCTTCTAAAATAATAGCAAAAATGGAGCTAGAACGGGTCTAATGCAAGATGGCTAACCTTGCTTGCTTGGGAAATCTTGCAATAGATTCAACTGTTGCTAATTTTTAACTGATGGAAGAGAAAACAACACGGAAGACATGATGGTCTTTGTGATGTTACTGAAGCAGTCATGATGCGGAAGACATGATGGTCTTTGCAATGTTACTGAAGCAATCATGATGCTACTCAAGGAGCTTTGATGGTGGTGCGAACTAGAAGTCCTAACACTTGTAAGTGATCTTCTGACAGATATGTTGGTAAGGAAGATAGACTGGCCAGCAGTGACATCGAATCAGGATCATACTGTTCATTATCGGAATAATAAAGCAAATGCATACAGCTGTGGGAAACAGATTGCCACTCACAACACTTGCTTTTGCAAAAAATAAGGTACACCAAATACCAAACTAGAAAATGAACTCAGAGTTCAAACATGCAATCCACGGATTGACACATACTAATAAAGCCTCCAACTGAAAATCTACTGCATAGGTAGAATCTTAATGACATAAGAAACATGAATATGTATGCTAAGGCCGTAAGTAATTCATCATATGCATCCATCTACTAAACATTGAGCTCTCAGGACTCATTCAACTAATAAGATCCACATAAAGTACATGATGAACCCAACCGCTGACAAGTTGGTCCAGTACAACAGTCATTTATTGGCCATCTGTACAAATCTTTGGTGCAGCATATAGGAAAGAGAAATATTTAAAATTTTCTCATGCTCGGGATTTTTTTATCTTTCTTTGTAAGTAAGTTTCTTCAACTTGGCTTGTTAGCTCAATTGATCAGAAACCCCTAGAACTTAATGAACTTTGCCTACTAAAACCTATTGGTATCTAGACATATTCCGCATGTGATCTCAGTACATGGTTTCATCCTCACAATTTTACGAAGAAAAACAAAATCACATTTACCAAGTGAAAGCAGCTCACCTTCAGGTTCATCAATAGTAGACTTAATGAAGGAGGGGAAATCGAGTTGGACAAGAGGCTCTGACACAGCTTCTGATATAGTTGAATACCTGAAAGAGACTGTCAAGGACAAGTGAAGACTACTAAAACCTCCAAAATAGTAGGTTGAAAGAATTCAAACTACTACATGGAGCATTAGAAAAACAAATTTAGAATTACTGATCAATCTTTTTTTTCCTATAATCTTTTCCCTCTGATAAATATTAAACCCTAACAATTGTATATTATTTTGGTACAATGATAACAATTGTATATACCATGGTTACCGAAGTTTTTTCCATGTTAATACATATATACAGCACTAGAAAAAAACTAGAGCTCAATTAACTTTACCCATTAAGGAATTAAACAAGAACTTTCAAGGACAACTTTGCATCATCATAACATATAATGATAGAAAAAACTTTCATGATAGTATTTTTTTAATGTGAGCTGAATCAAACATGAAAAATTGATTTTTCTCACTCTCCTCTTCCTTACTGAAATTGAAAGAATTTCAATATAAAAAAATTAACAAAATGATTAAGAGATAACCCAGATTACTACTATTCATTGTTGTTCAATGAGGTGGAAACATAGTTTCAAAGAAATTCAAATTGGTGTACCCTGTATCCAGAAAATAGAAATTGTTACCTATGATCCTGATGGCATCTATAAAGGCACATTGTATTGATGTCTGCACGTAAATTTTTCGAACAATTCAAAAGAGGCGGCAACAAAATGTCATCTTTTCCGAGTAGATTATACATGTTTCCTGTCCAGAATCAGGAATTCATTTTAGCAGAAAATAATTAGAAAACATTAACCAAATAATTTGACATCAGGAGGAAGTAGGTACCAGCAGAAAGAAGAGGGAGCAGCCTATAAGCTTCTTTCAGGCGTCTAACTCGGAGAGCCATAGCCATACTCGGTCTCTCTTTCTCAACTCTTCAAACTTCACAGAGGGAAGCTTTCGAGTTTTTAGGGCTAAAAATGTAGAGACCTTAAATAACTTCTTGCAAACTACAATTACCGAGTAATAACTTTTTACGTTTCATTTTCAACAAGATTTAACTCCTAATTTAGTAAATAAGTAAATACCCTTCATGTAGGGATGGACATGGTGTGGTAGTGTATCACATTTAAAAATTTGATAAAATACATAAAATCATTATTGAAATTGTTTTGAATTTTCAAAAAAGACATCTTAACTTGTAAGCATCTTATTACCCCACCAAAAGTATTAAATAGCGTTGTTAAATATCGTTGTAATACGGTCATTCAGTTCAAAGACATCTTTTCTTTTCTCTCAAAAAAAGAGTCAATTCTCTAAATGGTTATCCAAGTTAAGAAAATTGCCTTGAAATATCATTTATATTTAATTTAGGACTAAAATATCACTTTAATTATTACTATTTTCCTCCAAATATACTTGACACTTCAAAAAATCACTCTCTTCTAGTTGGCATGACATGTCATTAAAGTCTTTGTTTAATAATAGACTAATTTAATTCATAAACTCATTCAACTAAAATAATGATCATTCTTATAAACAATTTGAATTATAGTGAATGTCTAATTATGTGAAGTCCTTGTAGGATATAGTTAGAAATCCTACTTGGGGACCAAGTAAGGTTTTCCCTATAAATAAAGGGTTTTCCTTCATTGTAAATAAGATTTGTGAAAGATTTATGAATCCTCAATATACTTCAAGAGAAATAATAAGTCTTCTCTTCTTTTCTCTCTAGTTTCTTCTTCTTCTTCTATAGTTTTATAACATGTTATCAGCACGATTGTTATATTTTTAAAGAATTGTGATAGAAGACGAGAAAACTGCAAAAGAGATCTTGCATTATGCAATAAGATTCTTATATCTTCAAGGTATGATTTATCTTTATGTTATAATTATTTATGTAACAGATGTGCAGGTATCATCTAAAGTAAGTATTTAAAGAGACTTGTTGACTTTTTATACATTTAATTTTAATTGATTGGGAAGAAAGTTTCTTTTATTTTAATAATTGAATAAGCACAATTTAGTGAAAGGTATGTTTTCAACTTTTATGTGAGGTATGTGATCTATTAAACTATATTTGTTAACTACTAATGTTGATTATAATAAATCAATAATCTCAATTGTGTGTAATGATAATGTACGATCATATTGATGATCATCAAAAGTGATAAAATTACAATTATTTTGAAGGTTTTAGGTTGAGCCTCATTATGGGTAAGACGATAGATTTAAATTTTATCGCACCAAAAGAATAAGATGATGGATTTATGTCCAATCGCAAAAAGAGGGTAAGACATTGGGTTAAAATCCCGATGCACCATGATAATAAGATATTGGGTTCTAGATCCATCAAATTATGAGTAAAACATTTTTACATGGATAAGCATTAAATGTGAGTCTAAATGCACCATATTGATAATATAATAATGACTAAAGAAAAACTAATGTATTTCTGATGAGAAGTCATGAAATTTACTGAATTTGCTCCATTGCATAAAGTGAATGTGGTTGTAGTGCATAATATGTTTGAAAAAAGACAAGTGATTGAATAATGCACATAAATATGGAATAAGGTACTAAAACTATCATAATTTGATAAGCTCACATGTTTGTGTTCCATTCATTAAGAATGAGAACTTCTGATAAATGCTAAAATATGGATTCATTCTCTAAAGGGAATGAGGTGTAAGCCACCATGCTAGTCATGAGAAAGATTGCGACCTTGTTAATGATGTGGTATCACCAAGAATGTCTGTAAGAAGACATGTATTATAGAAAAGTTTCATGTTTTATCTTCGAGCTTGTATTGGACAAGAATTAATGCAATTGAGGCACATTTTATGGTAAATAAGAAATTTACTAATTCCTATACTTTCTTAGTTTGACACGATTGTCTACGACATTGTCAGTCTATAATATTTAGACGAATTATGGGAAATTAAAATGGACTTTCATGGAAGAAACTAAAAATTCTTTTAAATGGTGAATTTTCTTGTACTACTTGTTAGCAAGGCAAGTTAATTGTGAGACCACCATAAACGAAAGTTGAGATTGAATTTTCTGCGTTCTAGGAACATATACAGATATTTGTGGACCTAGTCATGCACCAAGTGGATTGTTTAGATATTTGATGATCCTAACAAATGTTTCTTCTATATGATCTCATGTGTGTCTATTATTATCTCGCAACTTGATGTTTGCAAAAATGTTGGCACAAATAATATGTTTACATGCACAATTTTCTTCAGATTAGTTCATTCAATGATGAAATCACGACTCACCTAAAGGGTAAAGTAATTGAGAAGAAATAAATCTAAAAATTGCTTTTGCAGTAATAAAATCGAAA